TAAATTTTTTTAGTTTCCCCACCATAAGCATTTCATTAATATTTAGTTAATAATCCTTGGAATCACAATTTCACCAAAAGTCAGAAACTAATCTTAACAAAAAAGTACTCTCTGAGTAATTATAGCCAGAAAACTGAAATTCTCTGGGTAAGATAAATTCCATTTGCCAGTTGCTCTGCTTAAATTATAATTATAAAGCTTTTTATCCATATATGTATAAAATGTCTCAGATTCTAGAATATATTCCATCTAATTAAGCTAAATTGAAACTTTGGCAGAAGAGTTCTTTTTCTTTGCATAAAAATATCCAACAAAGGATCTCTAATTTGCATTTAAGAGATATAACAATGATCCTATAAAAAGATATGTCTAACAAGCTTATTTTATTAAGATTGTAATGAGATTCCTTCAAACCTTGATGAAAAATGTAATGTTACATTTTTAATAGTGTAAAATCTGCCAAAATTGATTATCATTTTTAAAATTCACATTGTTTGGTTTCTCTGAATAATAAGATGATAATAATAATAAGGTACTTATTTCCTTTATACCTAAACATATCACAAGGGCCTCCACAATAATGTAAACTATTTAATGCTATCCAAAAAACACAGAAGCATGATGTTCTCACTCAACATCAACAGCTCCTTTGCTAATCCTAATCAGCAAGCATTTTCTTCCAGCTACGAGAATCCAATAAATTTAGGTGTCCGTCATACGAAAGAAAATCATATCAACCTATGTTATATCCAGAATTAGAGGAGAGTGCAGCAGTTAGATGAGAACTACACATAGGGCTTTGGGATCCAGATGCACACACACTAACTCAATTAATAATTTGATCTTCATCTCTTAATGAGTTCAAGAAATCTTTGTGTATATCAGCTAATTTACACTAAAGTCCTGTTTAAAATGGAAAGTCCCTCTCAACTACTGCCCTAGAAACAAAACCACCAATCATCACCACACCCTAGATTCTGTTTTAAAAAAAACAAAAAACAAACAAACAAAAAAAAACAACTATGAAATAGATTAGGTAACTTAAGCAATACTAACCTCATTATATTAACTAAAATAATTTGGATCTTATGCAAATATCCAAAACTTCCCTTAAATTTCAGTTGATAATACTGAAGACAATGTAATAAAAAATTTAATGCTATACTTTCACGATTTTAAAATTTAAAAAAAACAAAAATATTGTTTACTGATGATTTATTATTTTTCAACTCATTTCTTCAAAAGTACATTTATGTGTTGTATTTTCTTTTTATAGTAAAACAGTTTTTTTAAGTACTGAAAAAAAAAAAAGATCCTGGTCCTACATTGCTTTACTGATATTTCAAAAGCTCTAAAATAACCATATTACAGAGAACTCATTTACAGTAGTTCCACCTTATCCAGTTTCACTTTCTGAAGTTTTAATTACCTAAAGTAAAAAAAAAGGGGGGGGCGGGTGAACACAGTACAGTAAACTATCCTGAGATCCAGATAAACTACATTCACATAATTTTTACAATATATTTGTTATGACTGTATTTTATTATTTCTTATTGATTTCTTACTATGTATAATTTATAAATTGTTTTAGCAGAGGTATGTTTGTATGTATAGGAAAAAATA